AGAAATAGATGTGTGATTTACATTTTTATATTTTATTATTTATTATTATTTTTATAAGATTAATAATTTTATTAATAAAATTATAAAAAATACACTTAATTACTTTTAAACATGTTTTTATTAATTATTTAATATTAAATAATAATTATTACATAATCAAATAATTATATTAATTAAAATTTGTTATATACAATCTACCTTTTGCTATCCGTAGCCACTACTCACTATTTATTAGATTTTAACTATTATACCAAAGAAGCCTCAATCATGTCAATAATTGATTAATTAAATAAAACATACTTGATTAGGCCATTAAGAGGTAGATTATATTTAGGTGTTTTTGATAAAATAATTTTTTCCCTTCTGTTGTCTACCTTGTAGCCTGTATAAAGGCTGTCACATGTAACTCTTCGACACATCTCTCAATAATAATAAAATGTTTTTCTTTTAATTTTCTCGTCTTGCTTTTCCACTCTTTAAACCTTAAGGGTGGTCGTAGAGCTTTATATCTCCAATGAGGCATAAGTTCCTGGGCTCCCGTTGTTGCCACTTGCTTCCGCAATTCTTCTTATTATCTTAGGGTTTGTCTAACCTTTTAAGTTAAAATTTATTAATTAAGGTATTTTTATATAAATTTTTGTATTAAATTCATACATTTTTATAAATTTGAGTATAAATATTATATTATATTATATTTTTACATTTTATATTTTATTTTATTTAAATATTATATAAAAATTTATGTAAAATTAATTATAAATATCAAATCGATTTAACCTTTGTGAGGTTAAAGAATCCCATTGTTTTATATTTTCATATGCTAGTTTCTCTTTTTAAAAAAATGCATCTTTGATATTCTACGTTTTCTAAGTAAGAATTTCCGTTTTTCTGGTTTTCTTTTATTTACTTTAGCATTTAAAACAAAAAGGAACGAAAGGCATTTTATTTGATTCTTTCCCCCCCAATATTCTTGATTCACCCCATTGATTCCAACCCTTCTATATTCAAACTCTTATCTCCAGAACACCCCATCGTAGATTGCACCGTCACTAGCCATGGTACACCAACAACACCTTTCCTCAGTTTCTCTCAAGTTCCCAACTCCTAGTTAGTAGTTACCATCCAATACTTCTTGTTATAACTTGATTTTTATTCGATTTATTTTTAAAAATATCAAATTTTTTATAATTTTTATTTCTCATAAAATTTTAAGTTTTAATGCGAAAGATTTGTAAAAGAAAATTTCATATTAAATTAAATTAATGTCATTTTGTACCGCATGAAAAACATATAAAACCTGTGTTTTGTTTTGCGGGGACTTAATCGTGATATGGATTAAAATGAAGGACAAAACTGTCAGGAAGATGAAACTTATGAACTAAAGCACAAAAAGAAAACCCTAAACGAAGTTGTTTTGGTGTAGGGGCGAAAAACAAATGTGCCCACTTGCAGAGGATGGGCGGCAAGAGCAGAGGCCAGAGGGGATTCCTCCCTCATCCATCACTTCTCCTTTCCATCCCATGTGAGAAAAACTCATCTCCTATTTCCACCGGCATTTTCCTCCTATCAGATTGCAAGGTTTGGAGCCACATCAGTTGTTCATTTCCTGCATCTCACGCGCTTGGATCAACTTGCAGGTTGCATGGAATCTAGGGAGTGTAGGTGGGCGGCAGATCGAGGGTGAAGAACAGTTGAGATTGAGAGAAGGTAGTAGGATGGCTGGGGCTCTGTTTCAACCTCCGCGGATTTTGCCTATAAAAGAAGGTTTTCGGAGAGCAGAAGGGGGGAACTAAGAGGAGAAGAAGAAGGCAAACGAAGAAAAACAACAGAGAGCCTGAAAAAAAGATTCAGTAAGTTCAGAGAGTGCTGGAATTTTCGGGTTTGAGGAATCGAAGGCAAAAGGGAAGTTCGAATTCGGTTTCGGGATCGGGATCTGAACGTTATTGCCGACTTTAGGGATTTTTAGCTTCAGTTCATTTTATGTAAATCCTATATTGATATTGGATTAGAAATCGAGTTTGTTGTTAAATTTATTGTAATTTTATTTTGAAATTGTGATTGGTGGTTGTTGTTGATTGAGAATTCTTTTTATTTATTTATTTATTTAGAAGCTGAAATTATGAAATTGTCATGTAGAAAAGCTCCTTTGAGCTTGGTTTAGGTTAGAATCTGTTTTCTTAATTTTTTTAGAAAATTTCTGAAATTTTTCTTGAATTTGTCCCCGGAAACTGCAGAGCTAGGTCGGAACCAGGCTGGCATCCAGCG